CGATCGGTGGCATTTAAATATATAGTTGTGAAAAATGGTAGGGAAAACTGGATGCATAGGGTAGTTTTTCTGTAGTTTTAACTGGCGCATCTTCAATGAGGCCAACACCATTGCTCCAGTGTAATTAGAAAGTAGTTTGGCCCAGATTTGTCTTGCTACAATTATTTGTTTGCTTCTAGTAGTGCACAGACTACAACAGTTGCAATGCAAACACAAAAGAAGGCATGACTGATGCCTCAGAAGTGTGCGATCTAGGCTTATGCTTGTGGCAGCTGTTTACCTTACAAACAGCAGCGGTGTTGGTGGAAGACAGTGGTCAACTGTAACCAGTCCTTGTGTTTGGCTGTTGGGAGCTACTGCCTCATCTCTGGTGGCGGTGGGCTTTTGTAAGTGCCGTCTAACCTGTGTCTGTCAAAATGAGCCGGATTTGCTAAATCACTTGGATAATAATTTAGCATGGCACATGTGGAATGACAGGCTGATAAGCACTAATTAAGACAGCTCTGTTGGTGTATCTCCTTATGCTGTGACCTCCAACAGGGGGGTTGCTGAGTACCTGGGGGCAAGTGGGACTTTCTCCTGGCACGGCAGGGTCTGGAAGAGGGTACTGTTTCACAGCGTTACCTGCTATTTGTTTGACTTCCACTAAAACATCTATAGTGAGTGGAGTAGAGATAAACTGAAGATGAATTGGAGTAAATGAAATTTACCTACAGTGTCAGCAATTTAAAGTGTATCCATTTCTTTCGTGCTCTGAGCACTTCTGTGTTTACTGCTAAACCACTGCCAGTAATAAATCGGAATAAATTCTGCATTTTAAATAGCCAGTGGAGGTGGCCGATAAGCCAGTATGACTCTCTGTGAAGAGCTCTGTGTCACAGTATTTCTTATGGCTCACCAAGGAAGAAGCCCAAGTCACCTGGATCACTTTGGTCACCAGAGGCATTTAGGGTCATGTCAGTCCCTCATGAGTTACACCATTGCCAGTAAATTACTCATAATTAAGTTATGTGTAACTGATAGAACTTATATTAAAATATTTTGGGTACAAAGAGCTATCTCAGATTCCAGGTGTTCTGAATTTATCATGTGGCTGCATAAAATAAAATTCTATTTGTTCAAAATGCTGTTTACTAAAACCAGTACTTACTGAGAGTGTTTTATGGCTGTAGTTTAGCCATATTTAATACTTAAAACCAGTGTTGATACACTATGCTTCAGTGGTTGTTTCAAATTATCTGAAAATCTCTACCAACTTTACAGTTCTTTAGAAGAAGAAATTAGCGTTGAGTTATAATTGCGGGTTTTGTTTTCCTTACTTGAAATTCAGCTCAGCAGAGAGAGCACTGTGGTTCTTTCACGTTAGTTGTAACCCAAAACTGTTCTCTAAAGAGCTTCTTAGGAGTTTGAAAGAGAGTACATACCGAGGTGAACAGCTGTGGAAAACTGCAGAAGATAAAAATAATTCAGAGTCCCTTCACACAATCCCATTGTAGATTATACAGCCAAAACCAGCATTACACTGTGATCTTTCTGAATATTATCTACTGATTAAAAGGAGACTGATATTTTTTTAAACGGGATTTTATATCAGTTCAAGCTGTGTTTCCCATTGCTCTCACTTTTTTACTTCTAGTATCTGAGTTCTCTCTAAATTTGCCTGCCATAATTTCAAGGTACCTGCAAGCTGCAGCATCTTGCATATTCTTTCTAAGAAAAAAAGGACTACCTCTGTTTTTCTTGACCTATAATTGATAGAGTATTTAGAAAACATTGCAAATCCACTCTATATTTTTCTGTCTCGGTATGCTACCTTTTTAGAAAACCTCCATATCAAACCACAATACATACTTCAGGCATCCAGGGACTGAATCTTTGGGCCTGTAATCTTAGCTGTATGACGGGTAATTGAGAACAGTTAGTGGTTAAGGACTGGGTAAGTCCAATGGCTACTCAGCAGAATATTTCACTAGTCACAACCTCTCCTATGTTTATGTGACCGAATGTGTTGCAAACATTTTAATTTACATTAGGCCCACCATCTCATGACTAGCTGGCGCTTGGCTTCAAGCACATTCCAAGGAGCAGAAGAGTGTCTCAGGTTACACACCGGTGGTATCTTGCCTACCTCAGACTCAAGCTGAAGCTTTATTTCCTTTTCCCGTGTTACCATAAATTAGTCTTTACGTGAAATGACGCATCAGCATGTTCCTCAGCTTTCTTCAGTGCTTCCGAGACACGATTTGTACCAGCAGCATGTGAAGGAATTTTCCTATCTACCTTCTTGCCACTTGAGCTCTTGAATTGCTCCTCTGTGTGATGAGCTCAAACAGTAACGCTGCTGTGATACACAGGTAGAGGATGAGAGCTGGCGTTTTACTTCCTCGCCCTTCAGAAGACTTGGGAACAGCACTGAATCCTTGAGATATATTTCAGTTTGATATAGCGTAGCCCAAAGCTAGAACTGCAGCCCCTTGAACATTACATGAGGCACACAACATCCTCCAAAAGGAGATGCAAAGGCACGAATCCCAGCTCCTTAACCCTCATTTAATGTCTGACCCGTGACATTCCTGAAAGCCAAGTTTTCAGCGAGAGAATGGACCTTAGCTGTACTGTGTTTTTAAGCCTGGGAAGGATAATCCTCCCTCCAGGACCAGCTTCTCTAGGAGCTTTATGCATGTGTGTGCTTATCTCCCTGCTCACATGTCTCAGTCATTGCTGTGTTTGGGCTGACTGAAGAACAGGCGATCTGATAGTGATCAGCATCCCCAAAAGGCTTCTGGAGAGGCTGGGTTAGTGTTCAAACAAACCGGCATCTAAATAAGAATTTGTGTGTGTGTGTCTGTGTATCTGTGTGTGCACTTTGAGAAAACAGCAAAATGTTAAAAATGGCATTTCCAAGGAAAATACTGGACAGCTTTTGCATTCTGCTGCCTTTGTGCTCCCTGAACAAAACCAGGAGGACAGAAAGCAACGCACCTCCCTGGCTGACAGCTATCTTGAGCTCTGTGCATGCTTACGGAGAGGCACATGGGTGCATCAGCTACAGGGTGAATGGAGCGGAGGCATGAAGCCCGCAGGTTTGGTAACACAGAACGGACACACGGCTCTTTTAGGAGTTAATAAAACCAGTAACACAGCAGTCTTGAGGCAATGGTAATTACATCAGAAGTGGAGAACTGTTATTGACAGAGGTGATGAGTAATGAGAACAAAACTGAATAAATATTAAGAGTCCAAGGAATTGTTTTGAAAACATAGAACTTCTTAAATAAATGGCTATTAATAAGGACTGTGTCACTGCCTGGCAAAAAGAAGTGCCAAATGCAGGGTAAGCTTTATCTTTATGTTGGTTGTATCAACATACTCCAATGGTGAACTATGAGTTCTCCTTAAGAAAATAAAGCGTGTCCATGTGAACCAACATCAAAATAAGCAATTTAAATCTAGGGAACTGACAATTTTACACGGCTTGTTTAAAGGATACTTTGCAGGGCTGATTTGAAATGTGCAGCGTGACTGTTATTGGAAGGAGGATGTGATTTGTAACCGCAAATCTGGTTATCTTTAAATAGCTGCCTGAGTTGCTAACTTTTTTCACCGGTTAGGTCATCAAGCAGCAGCCATTTCCTAGCCATACGTCAGTATTATACAAGAGCGTTTTTGAAAGCACTTTAAAAACATTTGATCTGGCCGCATCCCTCCTGTTGCGGGGCGATAGAGCTGGGTGGCGGATGCACAAGGAACGGGGAGCTGGGCCCGCCAGCTCTGGTCTTCCCAAGCGCGACGCTCAGGCGTTTCTCGCCACACCAGCTGCCCCTGGTTTTAGTGGTTTCTTTTCGCAACTAGTCCAGCCGAGTGCGAGTTGTGCTTGTTTAGTAATTTGCCAATAACAAAATCTTAACCATTGATGTTTCTTCAATAAGTTATATTCCTAGGTGTGCCTGCATTTCCAACCAGTTGCCCCAAACCTACTGCCATAAAATTCAATGCTTTTCAAAAATATGGTATCATTTAACTTCATCTTGCTCAGGGTTTGATGCTTTACGTGCAGATACTCAGCTTTTGCATGCTTCTTCACTGAGACCGGTTGGAATAACCGAGAACAAACCCAAGTTCCTCCTCACTGGTGCGTACAAGCTGGAGGAGAGAGGAAAAGGGGATTGCTGGCCGACTGGGATGCTGGTGCCTTACTGGGTGCTCGTCAGGTCATTTTTTTCTCTGTCATTTGCAAAGTTTCCCTGACAGGGTATTGCAAATACCCGCAACAGCACTGGCGCGCGTCAAGCAGCCGATGCCTACGCGAACGTGTACCACCTTTGGAGTTTTGGCCTAAAACCGCCCGTTTGCGATGGGATTTTACACCTACAAGTACTCACAGCCGCGCACCGAGCGCCCACGCCCCGGTGCAAGCCCAGTAACAAAACGCCCAGGCGCAGAGCCCGGTGGTTAACCGCCCGGCCCTGAGAGCCCCTCCGCGGGCTGCCCAGCACCGCGGGGCTCCGGTGGCCTGCGGGGG